TTGCTCTTTCCACTCTAGCTAAACTTCAGGTCCTGTACACTAATAAAGCCTCCTGCAGGGAAAAAACCTGAATGGAGATTTTCGTGGAAAAGCTTGTCCAGGAGCCCTGATGAGGTGTTTCTATCCCTCTGTCCACCTCTCACCCAAGAACAGACATTTGCACATGCTTGTCTAGGGAGAAAATGTACACATATAAAGGACTTTAAAATACAACAGGACATACAGTAACTAAAATTTATGTGATCAGCAGGTTTTCTCTGCCCATTCCTTAAGCCTAGAAACAGAGGACGGGGCCCCAGAAAATTGGTATTAGAAAAATCAGAGAACTTCCTCTATCCAACACTTATACAGAGTAGCGCAGGTATTCACAGTTGCAAGTGGTTCTGCATTCAGAGTTGTATCTTGAGTTTCCTTCTGGTGACGAAAGGAACCCATGTCAGCACAGCTTTTTCATATGTCAAGAGAAAAACTTCCAGAAAACCAAATGAAAAGCAAGACACGCTGTCTTCTAAAGAATTTCCATATTTATTGGACATAGCTTTACCATACACATCTCATGCCAACACACAGGAGGCACATACAAACAAACGCACCAGCTTCTGTGTTCCAAAGTCACATGGCAATAAATAAGGATGGGTGGGTCCTTTTTTTTTCCTTTTTCTTTTTTTTTTTTTTTCCCAGGAAATGAGACTTCATTTCTTTTTAACTGTACAAAATTTACACTGCGAAGGGTGAGGGCAACGATCCAGAGCTTAGGGGATCTGAGGCTTTGAGGTCTTGAGTACAAGTTCAGAGCAGCTTCTGGGATCCTGCAGCCCTGAACCTGCGTGTTTGGCTCAACACCGTCCTCAAGTGGGGAACGTACAAATGCTTCTTGTCTCTAGGTGGGCAGCGGATGAGCATGGGGCGTCCCGCTCTGTCCACCTGTGCTCTTCCTCCCGGGGTGAAGGATGCTTGGCGCACCTCCCAGACCTGCAGCTGACTCCTCACCAGAGCTAGCAGCGTGAAACTGTGCTTTCAGTGTGGTCCTACCAAGCAGCGTGTGGATGGGATGACTTTGCTGCGCTCTCTCTTTTTGGATCCAGTCAGTGTGTTAGAACAGTTGGAGCGACGACTGCAAAAAGGGCCAATTGACCAACCCAAGAAAGAGAGAGGCAGTGATGTGCTTTTTATTTAGCTTTCAGCATGCCCAGAGCCCTTCAGCAGCAGGCAATAAAACAAAACTCATTTCCGCTTAATTGAATTTTTCTTCATCTCACGGTTTCCAATTTCTAAAGTGCAATGTTTAAAAGTGAGCCTCCTCGGTCCTTCCAGACCCTGCTGGCTGAGGAGGTATGGTCATTATTTCCATGGCTATAACCAAGTTGTCGTTATAGTGAGTGGCGTGCGGGAGCGGGGGCGTGCGGGAGGGGGGCCGGACGGTGCCCTGTCACACAGCGCAGCTTTTGCTAAGCTGAAGCCTTAAACCCCTCCAGCCAGGAGGCAGTTGTTTCAGGATAACCAGCTCGAGCTTCAGAGACGGTAATGTCTTTTGTTTGTCAGATTTCTTATACTTCTTGCAAAGTGAACTTCATTGTGAAGATCTAATGGCCCCCGGGGATCTTACCAGATTTCATGTTTTACATTGGCCAAAAAAAAAAAAAAAACAAAACCTTATTGAAAGACACTGCTAAATGCTTTTCTTCTGTCTTAATTTTATCCTCTTTCCCTGGTGTTTCATGGTATTAGTTTGCAGGAGTAATGTTATCAATGTGGTAGCTGATTTTCATTTTATATTTATAACTGTCAGATGAGGCAAGAAAGAGGAAGCACAAGGACAGAAAAGAGTTGGCCTCAGGGTGCACAGCAAGTCCCTGAAAGGGCCGGGATCCAGGCTTCCCCACAATGCGATTTACCCAGTGGCCAGCTTAGCCTTTGCATTTGGTATTTCCTCCACGGTCTTACTACTTTTCAGCAAATATAGATTCTTCCATAGCCCCACAGATCCCGTTTTTGCTTATATCAGTTACCATTGGAAACTTGGGCTTGTTTTTTGTTTTTTTGTTTTTTTAAATATTATTCATTTGCTCCTGGATTCAGAAGCCTCCTACCCTCAGGTCCATCAGCCAAGCGCTGCAGATAACAGTTGCTAGTGAACAGCTCTCCTAGAGCCAGACAGGTCCAGATATTGTCAACGCCTCCAGAAGGTCTCATCTTGTTTTTAAAATTCATCCGTGTCATTTCGCAAAGGGGAAAACAGCTTCCGTGTAACACCTTATACATCAATAACAGACTACTGAGCGTTAGAGGAGTGCCTGGACCCGAATCTCAGGGTAGTTCTGTTCTTCTCCATCCCTGAGCCTCAGAAAAGCCAAGGAGCTGTCTTGGCCTGCGGCTCATTGGTAGCACCAGCCCATGCATAACACTAATCCCACTTGCAAGGAGATCCACTTAAAATCTGAGACCGATTGTGACTGTGCTTCTAAATGCAGCACCAGTGTTTGCTGCTTTCTGGCGAGGTGGCCCTGGGGAACTTAAATCCAGCTCCCCTGGCTTTCTGACCAGGGCTCCCTCAAGAGCTCTCCCAGCTAGCCAACCCCACCAAACCAAAGGAGCTCCTCCCGACATCATGATGTCACCTGCACTATTCACTGGGTTCCTCGAGAGACTCCTGTTATTGTATGAATGAGGAAGGCCTCCCATTTCTCCTGCCAGGGAATAGGGAGTGAGCATGATCCACCCATCTAAAAAACAAAAACTGGTCGATTTCATCTGGTCTCCAAAAGCAGTGCTACACAGGGGGATGTTCCCCCTTAAAGAGCCTGCTCTCACGGTACTGCACTCGCCAAAACTACGAAGCGCCTCTGACGTCCCATGAGATACTACTCCAAGTAATCAAGCTGAGACAGTGGTCTGGGTGGGGCAGTTTTTAACTGGTTTTAACCCAGCAGTCTTTCTCCTGTGTTTTGTAAGCAGCCTGCTAAGAACAGTGAGCTTAAGAAGCTGTCCTCCAAAAAGATGGACACACGACTTGTTACCTTGCGTTTGTGTCTCCATCCCCACCCCGAATAGTCACATTATTGGGGAATTCCCCACAGCACAGACTTGGCCAGGCTTAACACACCATCATCCCTGCACCTGGAACCTCCGGCAGAGGGCCGACATTTGCAGACTCCCCAAGCAAAACATCACAACAATCGAGCACATCAAAAAATAAGGGTACACTACAAAATTGATCAGAGAACAAAGATGGCCTGAAGGCTGACCCAGGAATTTACTGACCATCTATTTTAAAGAAGCTTCACTGACCGTAGTTTAGTCCTGGAAAGGAGTTTACAAAAGATGAAGCATCCAAAAAAGGAAGTGTTTCTCTCTTCCTTTAGTCTGCCTACCTTATGCCTAAATCTTTGCGGGCCTCAAAACCATTCCCGGAAGGAAGGGTCCTTAGGTGCTTTGGCCCCATCACTTGCTGTGAAAGAAAGGCAATACCATCTTACCCTTTCCCACTCTGCTGATCTTGTTTAAGAGAATGGGAGGCCAGAAGAAGCAAACCACCATTTCCCAAGGGGACTGGAATAAATTCCACCTGGCTAAATCCAGTATGCACACGGAGAGCTTCCTGATGGACAGATGTGTGGCATAAAGTGGGACTTGTAGCACCATTCGCAACGGTATTTCCTGTAGAAGTGCAGTCTGTTGCAGAGACAGCAGCTCATAAAGCAGGGGTTGCCCTTGCCCTTGCCTCAGGCTTGGTGATGGGCTACTGCAGACCCGCAAGCTGAGAGTCTCTGCACTGCCACTGGCTGGAGAGCTCTGCCTTTCTGAGTGCAGAACTGGAGCAACCCAGGGCCTGGCATGAGTCCAGCCAGCAACCCAGAGGGATGCAGCCAAGGACCATTTGGAGCCCTTTGGACAATTTTAGGGCTGCTCCCTAAATGATTCCTCCCAACCAAGATAGGCCAAGAAGCATTGCTAGTACTCGGAAGAGGCCAAGACTGTCCTCCAATTGAGTCAACTAGCACAGCAGAGAAAGCTCACATTTTTAAAGGGCTGAGGAGGGTTGGCTGCAGGTGAGCGGGGGCGGGTGGAGTTACAAGCTCATCTAAACCAAGTCCCTCAAAACAGACACAATGTCATTTCGCCCTACCGGATGAGAACTCTGGGAGACTGGCATCTGCTGACTTGGCTAAACAGACCGCATATTTGGAATCCAAACGTCTACAAATGTTTTCACTGATTGTCGTTCTGTTCTCTCCATATTTTAGCTTTGATCATTTTGGAACCCACAGCCTGTCTTGTGGAATAAATAATACAGGCAAATTAAAAAGGCACATTGTGTACCAGGGGGACTTGTCATGCAGTTGCTGTGATGGTCCAGGGCCACTCAGCTCCAGCCTCAGAATCACCTGCAATGAAAAGCACTTCTTGCCGTCAGGGATTCAGTGATATAGATGGGATTTCGCAAAAACCAAAACTGACCAAATGGTCTCCGGCATGTATTTCTGGGTAGGGAAGAAGTCATATTTTTCACAGCAAAAAAAAAAGGAGGAGGGAGCATGTTTTCAACATCGAACTCTGGCCATCAAAGTTTTCCACTGACCTTTAATAAGTGACTTTTTATTTTGAAAATTAGGGTTCAATAAAGGTGGTCCAGAAATCCCTTTTATCAATACTCAAGGGCCGTGATGCCTCCACCTCAGAAATCTCGGTTCTGGTGAGAGCAGTGGTTCGGGGGGGCATGATGAGACACCCCAGTTGGAGCAGAGTTCCCAAAGAGCAAGGTGGCCTGACACAGTCATGCCGTCAACCAAGCACTGTGCAGCCAAAGCCTGTAAGCAGGGCGGGGGAGGAGCCAACAAGCCAGCACCCTAGCGCTCTGGGCTCTGTGCCCCTGTGCTGTGTTCTGAGACGAGGCTGCTCTCCCACCACTTCCCGCGACCTCCCCGGGACCGGCAGAGGACTTCCATTGAAAATAATGGAAATTCACATTGGCGCGCTTTTGATCCTTAAAAGGCAAGTCTCTTTTGATCCTTGAAGATATTCTGTCAAGCCAGAGGACGGGTAGGGTGGGGAGGAGAGGTGCTTAAAAAGGAGGATGATCCATTTCATCGAGCCAAGAGGCTGGGCTAGTTGGAAAGTCGGGATAGCCTACACTGCTTCCTGTGGAGATGTCAGAGGTGGGTCCCCCAGCCATGGCTCTCAGCGTCTGGCTTACTCCCTGCCCTGCATGCGCAATGAGGCCCAAATTACTGTCCACCGTGTAATCCAGCCCATTGAGCAAAGGAGCGTGGGATGGCAGGGACGAGATGGAGGATGGAGACTGGGGGATTCCATAGGGGCTCCCATCCCTCAAGTCCTGATAGGATTGTCCTGTCCCATCCATGGAGAAGCTCCCATTCATTAACTGTCCGCCTGTAACGTCCCCCACGTTGCCATAAATCCTATTGGTGTGGCCAAGTTCTGAGAGAATTTGATCCTCTGTGGACAAAAGAACGGAGATTTATTGTCAGCCGCCAGGACTCCGGTGGTCCCCTGTTCTTCACAACCTAGGAATACACACGACCAGGAAAGAAGCCCAAGCAGGAGCCAGACGCCAACACGTCAGCCTGGCATCCAGAGACTGACCCACATCAAGGGGAAAAAACAGAACCCACACCTGCAGAGACCAAACGCCCAGGGCCCAGAAGACTGGACAAGTGTTTGGTGAGTTTGTTGGTCCCATGTGTGCTCAGGTACGAAGATGGCTACACTGAGGAATACGAACGCCTGAGGTTTGGGGGGTCATATGTTCTCCACATCACAGATGGAAGAAACTCTGTGCTAACAAGATTTCATCTGAAAGTTTTCAAGCTGAGAAAAGTGCTTGGTTCAGTTAGTTGGGAAACAAGCAGGCCCATGCAGTCAGGGGGGCTGAGGACCTCTCTAAGACGTGTACAAAAGCCTTCTGGTCTACCTGGGAAAGAGGTTCAACATTAAAGTACTTGGTTTCTCTGTCTACCAATAAGCTCTTCACTGGGGACAAAGTATTGGACTGATTAAGGCAAATGACCTTCTTGTTTTATGAAGAATTTCATTAAGGGGATCTAATGGAACCTTTGCCACCGGGAAGAATTCCTCTCTCCGACCGAAGTGAGCAATTTTAGTCTTAAGAAAAAGAAGATTATGTAATTACCTGGAGAGACCAATGATATGTCAACCTGGGGACCCACCTGCACCCAACAGAAAGGAGCTATGAAACAAGACTTAACAATCCTGTATGTTCCAGACGTTGATTTCAGCAGCTTAGAGGAGATTAAGTGGCTTTCCCCCTCCCCCGCCAAGAGGCCTGGAAGGTGAGCACAGGGCCCTTGAACCCTCCCCAGGGCCCCACGGGCAGACCTCTGGGCTGGGCTACAGTCCTCTCAGGACATCACGGTCCTGGCGGGCAGCTCATGCCATCTGCTGCCCCACAGACTTCCTTTCTATTCCCACCTGGGCCTGTGCATCCACTCCTACCTAGGCCACCCCAGAGTGGACTTCAACACCCATCCCTTCTGACGACCTGCCCTAGGCTGTTCCTCACCCCACCCATAAAAATGAAGAGGGGGAGGGGAGTCATGCCCTTTAGAGGGGGCAGGGGTTGAAGGCTCAGCTCCACTGTAAAACGGCCATTACCTGGCCTTTTGCCTACACCTGTCACCCCGTGCGGCCAGGGCCCTCTGTGGGAGCCACAGGCTCCGTAAAGGGGATGGTCGTGTCTTCCAAGTGTGAAAATGTGCTGAGCGTTCCCCAAACACATTCACAGTCAGTTGTGTCCATGGATCCCCAAGAACACTGCGAGGTGGGCAAGGATGTGGTTATTCCCCATTTATAGATGGGGAAACTGAGGCTCGAGAGAAGTGAATCCGTTTGACAGAGCCATAACCGGAAGCCAGATTACTGATCGCCCAGCTCAGGACTCTTCCCTTCGCCCCACAACAGAAGACCTTCCACATTCGAGGACTCATTGCATGAGAACCGTTACGGCTATCTGCAAACAACCGAAGGATCCAAAACATGCAGCCATTTGCAACTTCGCTGACGCACAAATTTGAATATAGCGCATGCAGCAAAGCGCGTGCGCTGGACCGGGTGACAGGAGCGGTGGGGGAAGGGATTTCAGAATGAGGCCGGTCCCCACCTCACGGGCACTCACAGTACTGACTTCCCGGGGCAAAGGGCCCGTTGAGCACATCCTCCCACTGCCAGGAGAGGAGGAGGCTCACTCTAGGGGGTCACGGGAGGGAGCCCAGTGCCCCAGCCGAGGGGAGAAATGCAGGAGGGGGGCTCAGGGTGCAGGCAGAGACACAGCTGTCCTGCACAGCTGCGTGGGCTGGTGAGGGAGCCCCGGGCCGCAGGCAAGGAAGGGAGGCCTTGGGGCCCATGGGCCTGGGAACCCGGCTTCCATGTGTCCACAGCAGAGCTCTGGTTTCCTCTGCCCTGTCCCCTCTGGAAGGGCCACTACCCTTTCCCCCCTGCCCTTTACCCCAAGTTGCAGGGAGGGCTGTGTTCGGGAGGGAGGTGGCCAGGCCTCCAGAAAGACCCCTCGTGAGCATCGGGGATGAGTTTCCCAGGGGCCTCTCCTAGGGCCTGGGCCTCGCCCCGGCAGCCCTGCTCACCTCGGAAGCTCAGCTCACTGTCACTAACCCCACAGTCCTCTGCCGAGCTCTCCTTCTCCTGTTTGCTGCCTCCCCGGCTCCTCTTGACGCTCTTATAGAACTGCCCCCAGCGGTGCCGCCCCGCGTCCTTCTTCAGCCGCTTTTCCTTGGCCCTTCTGTTCTGAAACCAAACCTGCCACACAAGCACAAGAGACAATCTCGGGGGGCGTCCACCACGAACCCAAAGCCCCCAGGGTCCCCGAGACAAAAGACAAAGACCGAAGCCTCAGCAGAGCTCAGGGCAAGGAATGGGACGTGCCCACCACTCCCCCTGCCTGGGCCTCAGAAATCTGCCTCTGATTCGGCAGATTTCCGGGGCTTGTGGCCCTGAGCCCAACTCCCCCAGGGGATCAGCGACACCGCTGATGAGGTGCCATGGGTACCACTCCCGAAGCCTCCCTCACTTGGAGGGCACAGATGCAGGGACCCGCAGGACAGCCTCCACCCCTGCCCCAGGCCCGGCCTGGGTGGCGCCGGGCCTGGGATCCCCGGTCAGCAAAGGAGGCCCGGGGGCCAGGGTGGCTGGTGTCTCACCTGTACGACCCTCATGTCCAGGCCTGTCTCCGAGGACAGCTGCTCCCTCACGTGCCGGGCAGGCTTAGGGGAGTTCTTGTAGGCGTTCTTCAATGTCTCCAGCTGCTTCGCCGTGATGGTGGTCCGGGGTCGCTTAGCTCCGGCCTCTGAGTCATCTGCAATGAAAACCACTTCTTACTGGGTCCAGCCCATCTGAAGCAGCTGGGTCTCAACCCACCTTCCTCCTCTCCCCATGTAATCTTGCCTGCTATGGGCAAGAGTGAGGGAAAATGGGGGAATACCAAAGGGGCGTGGTCCCAAACCCCAGGGAGCCCACAGGCCCTCTGAGTCACTGAAAAGTGAGGACCATGTCCTCCTTGCCTCAGCTCCCTGCCTCTCCCCTGCCAGCCCAGCCACACAGGGGCTTTCCTCAGACTGAAGGTGTACCATTCCATGCGTTTCCCCATCATGACAAACACTCTGACTGGCCAACCATGTGAGTTACTGCCAAGGCTGCAAAGGTGAAGGAGTCGGAATGAAGTCTGTGCTCTGGGCTGCCCCAGACGCCTGCCCCTCCTCCCATCAGGAAGGTCCGTTCCCCCAGGTCCCACCCACGGCTTCGCTGCCTTGCCACAGCCCTGGGCTCATAGCAGGGGTGACCTGTACATTCACTATTCACCGAAGCAGTGTTCATAAATTATGGGTCAGAGCCCACTAGTGTGTTGTGAAGTCAATTTAGTTGATCGCAAACTAAGAGAGGAAATCAAATGGATGGGATGGAGTGAGATGGGATGGGCTGGGACGGGATGGACGAGGCAGATGAGAGCGAGTATTGTTTCATGAAACTTGATCAATGCTTGCTGTATGAACATGTGTGCTGAGCTGAAACATAAAATGAGTCTCTTACTGTAGATCATAGTCAACATTTTTGGAAAAACACTGGTCTGAAGAGTGTTCAGGACAACATGCTGATTGATCAACTGTCTTCAGTGGATTTTGAGCATCAAGTTCCTGTGGGTCAAAGGCTGTTTATTCTCAGTCAGAGTCAGGCACAGAGAGAGGCACTGGGTGTAAGTGGTTTGCTCCTCTCCCAGCACTTAGACTTACTTCCGTTCTCTGCCTAGCACCCCCGGAGTCAAGCAAGAGGGAACGGGCAGCTGCGTCTGGCCCTCTGGGGTCTTTGTGCCCCTCCCACATGTGTACTTTGAAGGGGGTCTGCTCCATGCCTATCTTCCTACCTTTCTTCCTTTCCATCCAAGAAAACCCTCTCTTAGGAACAACAATAAAAATAGCTAATGTTTATTAAGTGTTTACTGTGTGCCTGGTGTTGACCTGAGAGCTTTATGTGCCTAGGAGCCTCACAACAATTCTAAAAGGTTTTTCTTGGAGTCAGAAGACCCGGGTTCACCATTCTCATTGAGTGAGTGCATGGGCAAGTCCCCTCGCCCCTCTGAAGCCTGGGTGGGTGGCACGTTGTAGGATTAAGTCATCCTTAATGACATGAAGCCCAGGCTCACACTACGATCAATCGTGCACACAGCGGAGGGGGGACAAGGCCCCCAGTCCTCTCTCCTCCTTGGGCCGTTTTCTTCCCCAGCAGAGCACTGTCATCCTCAAAGCCCACCACTCAAGTCCCTCCCTGGGGTCCTGGACACAGGACCAGGAGGAAGGATTCCAGAGCCACTGAGGCACACGCACTGAGGAAAACCTCCAAAATTCTTTAAATTCTGTTGTTAGGAATCACTCCCGTCTGCCCGTATTTATAGAGATAAGAGCATGACAGAACTTGATGCAAATACGAAACAGTGCACTTTAAAAATATCCATACGGTCTTTACGTACAAAATTTGAAATAATGAAACCACCAAAAATTTTTTCAATTCATCGAGAATTGCTTAATTTCAAAATAGGTTGGCCTAGTGCATTAGAGATTGTTCTCACCACGGCAAGATGGCAGCGCCACTGGGACAAACCCCTGTCATCCTGGGTTGGTGGCCCCTTGGTTCCGCATGGCTGGCTACGTACGCGGAACTTTCTTCTTGTGATTATGGGGACTATTATGCTGTTATTTTAACATTCACTGTTATTATAATTTAAAATCTTTTTTATATCCTATAACAATATCATCCAAGTATTCATTAAGTAGCGGTGGCAGTGCTCGTGCTGAAAAATGTACCCGAAAATCAATAACTTTGGTACGGAAGTTAAATGTGATAAAACGCTATGAGGAAGGCCAAGCAAGACCATGATACCCTAGGCTGTTAATTTAGGAGAGAGCATCTGGGAGAGACTGAGATAGTGCTGAGAAAATAAAAAGTAGCATTAAGGCAAAGATACACTTCACTGGTTATGGATTTATGTGCTCCCAGGATACATGCCCGCCCCTCGACTTTTTACATTAATTCCTATGGGAAAATTAGTCTTAAAATATGTTAGTTTTGAATTATGCAGGGTCTCCTAGCACTTGTCCCTGGCATAAAATGCCACCTCATTATATTGAAAATGCAAATATCCAGGGAGACTAACAAATGAACAAAATCATTCACACCAAGATACAAATAGCTGATATTCAGTCTTTTGGGTAGCACCAGCGAGGGAACCTAAGCCTGAAAGAGGGTTTAGATTAGCAAGGAGGAATTAAAACATAAAAAGAGAGAGCCAAATGCCCCACAGCAGACCAAGGCCCCTGCTGTACCAAGGAGCACCCAGATTTCAAGGGATGGAGCGGCCGCTGCCTCGCTGACAGCCAGAGGCAGGAGGAACGGACCAGAAACACTGTGTAAGCCCCAGCTGCTGGCAAACCTACAACAGATCTCACCTACTGTTTGCATTTCTTTTCCACGTTGGTCTCTCCCTCGTGGAACGTCCCATTCCACAAGTGTCAGCCTCTGGAAACCTCAGGACACAGCCCTATGTGACAGGTGCTCTGACCCCCCCCATGGAGCTGAGACGCCGAGGCTCAACCAGGTACACGACTTGCCGGGGGAACCCCCAAGTTAGTGCATGACCCGGCAGAGATGCCCACCAGCCTCTGGGGCCAAATTCGGTGTCTTTCCACCATCCTACAGAGGTCTGCTGCGAGGCAAAGCATCCTCGATAAGAGCGTTAGCCCCACTGGGTCATTCTTGCCTCCCCAGCTGGTCTCCCCTTTCTCTCGACCCATCCACAGCAGCAGTGGACGCCGGGCTGCACGTGCTCAGGGTCTAAAGGAGGCCTCTGACTGCGAGAAGCAGCCGCTGGCCCTGGGGGTGGCCTGCATCCTTGGGGTCTCTGGTGGAGGGCATCAGAGTTGCACGGGCAGCTTGGGCTCTCTGAGTCCATCTGCGCTGAGGGTTTATCCCTAATCTTCTGTGACACCATAAGTGACTCCAAAGTGAGTGAGTTTTAAGGGGCCAGAGAAGAGTAATACATTAAGGCAAAGAGCCTGGGAGCAGGCTTGCAGAGGCCCCAGAAAGAGGAGAAGAGACTGAAGGGCGGTCCATGTCAAACGCCAGAACTCTGGGGGTGGGGGCAGAAGAGAGAGGAGGCCCTGCCGCGCTGTCCCTCCCAGCCTGAGCTCGGTTCCTGCGGCCTCACCAACACAAACCCTTGAACTGCATTCGTTAGCAAAAGACTAATTTCTCCATGCATTGATCATATCTATACAATATATATGTGGGGACCGACGAAAGACCTGGAAGGAGATACATGAAATTGTTGTTCCTTTGTTTTTTCATCAAGCCCAGAGCCGTCAACAAAAGTGTTCCGCAGTAACACCCTGAGTTGAAATAAACTCTAGTCAAAGGCAAATGACCTTGGACGTTTCAGGAGTTTGTGCGCCTGAGAGTCCCAGGTTGACTTTGGCCAAATGCCATATTCGGAGCCAGGGTGGAGGGCACAGCCGTGAGTGAGAAGCCTGAGGTGAGGCTGCAGGAGGTGGGGAGTCAGGCTTGGCTTTCCTGCGGGGAGCGCTGAGGAATGGGGGGGAGGGGTCCAAGCCCTCTCCAGGCCCTGGGAAGGCCCAGGAAAGACCTAGGGCTGCCCAGGAGCAAGGCCTTGGAGGGCAGAAGCCGCTGCTGCCCAGGCCGCCCCTGTGAAGGCAGGCTTTCCAGGGTGGTTACTAAAGGCTGGGGCCCGACATCAGCCTCAGCCTGTGCTGCGAGCTTCTGTGCAGACCGTGCACAGGGCCCTGAGGTGGCCAGGGAAGGGTGGTGGGGTGCACGGGAGCAGATGGTGCAGATGGTTGGGTCTCCCTGAACGAGGAGACTGGCTGAGCATCTGCTCCCATATGAGGGGCTTGGGAGACACAAGAGTCGTCACCCCTAAGGCCCTGCCCTCGAGAAGCCCACAGTCTGAGAGGGGAAACACAATACAATTAACTGAAATACTGAAATACGAGCTGACCCGTTCCAAGGGTGACCTAGGCCAACGCCAGGGCTCCTGCTGACCGAAGCCTCTGAGGTGCAGAGGTAGATGTGCACCCTGATATGTGAAACTGACGAGCAGCTCCACTGCAGATGGAGCACCCTCCCAGCCCCGCCCCAAGCGAGGGGCCTCGAGATGATGGGCACAAGGTCCTCAGCTGCTCCCGAGCCAACGTGCTGGCGCGCGAGACAGGCAGGCGCTCAGCGGCCGGAAACCGGTTGATGCTTCCGTGGAGCAGCAAGTGCCAAGGGCTGGGGGCTGGGGGTTCCCCCTCCCTGCAGGCATCTGAGAAGGTTCTAGAGGAGGCAGGGGGCGAGCAGGGCTCCGAGGGGTGGGCAGCCCGGACTCAGGCAGGACAGGGGGCACGGCCGGCACGGAGACTTGGGGGAGGGGCCGTGCTGATTACCGTTCTGCTTGGCCGTCTCGTAGTCCTCCTTGCACACCAGCCGTCCGTCCTCCATGAGGTAGAACTCGTCCCCCGTGGCCAGCTGCCGGTTACAGATGATGCAGGCGAAGCAGTGCAGGTGGTAGACGAAGTCCTGCGCCTTCCTGACCACCTGGGTCGGGGGGATGCCCTGCTGGCAGGCCGTGCATTTTGTGCCGAAGCGCCTGTAAGGGCAGTGTGGCGTGAAAAGATGAGAGCGCGCGGCAGGGAGGCGGGGTCTGGCTTGCGCGCACTTTTCATCTGTCCCTCCCCCACCCCACCACTCCGGGGGGTCCATGGGCCTCCACCCCTGGGCCACCCCACTGTCCGATTAACAGCTCGTCAGTTCACCCAGGGCTGTAGGATTTTCCAGGTCCCACTGAGCGGGCAGTTTCGCCCTCTGCCTCCTGGTTTCTTCAGCTTGATGGTGAGGCCTAGAGGACCAGCCCCACGGGGCAACCGTGTGCACCCATGTGCATAAAGCATCAGGTGAAACGCCTCTTCCCGTGCTCCCCACGGGAGACGCCACACGCCAGGGTCCACACGGGGCTCCGGAGAAATCACACGTCGGCCGCAGAGCGGGCCTCTCACGATGGGTTCTCTCTCCTGCCTCTCCCCTCCATCCGGCAGACACCAAACCCTCCGTAGCAGCCTCCGTCCCCTTCCCACGCACAGCCCCTGAGATGTGAGCCCGGGAATCTGCGTTTTATACCCCTGCCACCATTCGAGGTGCGGGGCCTGCAGACCTCGGTTTGAAAAATGCTGCCTCAGACCTCTTCCCATCAACCCCTTTCTGGAGCAGCACCGAGGCAAGAGGAAGGTGCCCACCACCCAGGCCCAAGGTTGGGAAAAGAAGAGAAGTAGACTCATTGCAACTATAGTCCAGCTGGGTCATTTAAGCCCCGTTCCCTGTCCTGGCCATACACACAGAGCCACACCAGTGGTCGTAGAGGCCAGAGGGGAACTGGGGGCCAGTGCATATGTGACGATGAAGCGGTGGGTGCGTGGGGGGCTCTGCTGCAGGAGGGAGGTGGGAGGGTTAGGGAGGAAGGGGCAGAGTTTAAAACAGCAATCAACCTAATTATTCATGACATTTCACACAGCAGAACTTTATCTTCTTCAGGATGAAAGACTTTGCCTAATGGATCTGGGGAAGGTTTGATTTTAATGGTCCTTTTAACTAATGCTTATAGGCAGCCTGATTTCCCCTGAAAGGACAGTACATATTTCATCCCCATTAATACCAAATAAATTAATTATGGTCATGGCTATCATGATGAATCCCAGATTAATGCAGAATGATGGGTCTCTTGTGCAGTAATGATACCTGCCGGGGGCTGCAGGGGCCTGGAGCAGGCACGGCCAGCTGCGGCTTCAGCCCTGTCCCGGGGGCATGGGGGTCACAGAGAGAAGTGGGGTTCTCTAAGTCTAGATGGGTAACCCCGAAAGAGCCAGGAGCGTGGCCCCAGGGACTGCTCTTCTGAGACGAGATCTGAGGAGGGTGTGAGGGCCTGAGCTGTTTGGCTCGGAAGGACCCCAGGCTTCTGAACTCCTGGAATGCCCCTCGGTTTTGTGAGGACGGTGGCATGCATGGGAGAAGGCCTCTTTAGAGCAGGGGTTCTCAGCCCAGAGCTCAGGACGGGCTCTGTCAACTACCCCTGAGTTTTTTCAAAACTGTGCATCAGGAGGTGGGGCCTGGACTTTCAACAAATTTTCAAAGGGTTTCAAGGGTTTCATCAGATTTCAAGTCCAGGACCCAGAAAAGTAGAGATCAAGTTTGTTGAAAAATAAATCAGTGAATAAAGAACCATGATTTTAGAGATTATGCAAGGAGATGGCTAAATCTGAGAATGGAGAACAAAGTCTACTGTCCGTCCTAGATGGTTCTGAACCTCCCAGAGCACAGGTGAGAACCAGGCTGCTTCCACAGCTACAGGAAGGCAGGCAGGCACCCAGCTCGTGTGTGTGCGTGCGTGCGTGCGTGCGTGTGTGTGTGTGTGTGTGTGTGTGTCTGAAGGACAAAGAGAAAGGAAGCCTGTTTACGTGTTACTAGAGTGTGTTTTCAAATTGCCTGTAGTTTGCTATCCAGTCCAGGCCAATTCACAAAGCAGGTGTTCAAAATGAAACAATCCCGCTCACTGCAAAACCCTCCCAAATAAACCACCGAAACCCAAGCGTCCAAATCCTTTGCTGCAAAGGCTGGAGCAGAAGCAGCTCCAGAGAAGAACTAGAATGTTCCAAAAAGCAAGTCCTATTTTGTGGCCGAGTCACGGGGTGGAGACCGGGGGTGGGGGCAGGAGGGGGGGTGGGAGGAGGGCTGAGCAGACTCCAGAACAGAGTGGAGACCCTGCAGCGGCCCCGCCCACAGGCAGGGCCACATCCTCTCCCCACTAAAATGCAGGCTGTGGCTTTCCGTAACCAGAAACCTAGTTGACACCAGAGCCCCAGAGACATGAAAGATAACGAGGGTATAAATTTAATCTACATACCGACAGTGATTCATGCGTGAGGGTGGCAAGTGCACAAGAAAAATGAAAAATAAATGGACTTTCCCACCGGTGTTTTTTAGCAATTGAAGCAATTTTCCTGATTGTGGGATTTATACCGATGGTAAGTGGAAGTTGCCCCTTATTACCCCTCTCCCCTGGAGCACGGCCAGCGGGACCCTCATCGAGGGGACTGCATGCACCCCCTGGGCCCACAGGGCTCTCCCAGCATGGCCCAGTCCTGAGGGGCTCCCCACCCCAACTTCTGGTCAGAGCCAGCGGGCCCAGAATAAGACGCCGTCCTGTAGGGCTGCAGATGTGATGACGACACTGTCCTGAGTGTCCAGATCTCAGACCAGCCAGAGTCACAGGTGAGGCAGCCACGGCCTGGAGAGGCTACACAACTTGTTCTGTGACGAGCAATAATGAGATGACCGCGGCTAAAACTCCCGGGTCCAAAACCAGGTAAAACTGTGAACCTGGCTGCTACACAGAACCAATAGTCTAACCAACCTGACCAAATCTGCAGGATGCTGGGGGCGGGGGCCGAGCAGGACACTGGCCAAGGAAGAGGCTTCCGAGGAATTTTCTAGTCAGCATTCCCTTCGTCCTATCGCTGAGCCCCTACCGTGTGCAGGGCCCTGCCCACTTGGGTGCAAACTGCACTGGCCTTGCTCACCAGAAGGACAATCTCTCTCTGGTCAACCCTGCCTGCTAGGCCTTCAGGGACGGCCGGTCTCCCCGGGGAAAGCAGCTGGAGCTGATCCAAAAGACTAAGAAAACACAAGGGAGGACTTGCTCATGGCTAACGTTTCTCAGAGCAACGTCACTGGCAATGCTCTTATCTCTGCCCAACGAGCAGCAGGCAAGCCACAAAGACCCACCGAAGGAGTGAATGAACGCATGCAGGGAGGAATGAGTGCACGAACTGCTCCTTCAAGCACGCGTCCGAAGCAGGAGGGGAAGGGTTAGCACTCACCATAATAACTGCAGATCCCGGCAAAAGCTCTCCTAAGAAGGGAACTGAACCCCCCGTTGAAATGAGGCCCGAAGTGTACGAAAACATAAACTTTCCACCCCACTTTGCTCTCATCATTGCACTCATTCCACAGATGTCTCCTGAGTGCCCAACCTGGAAGGCGGGGATCATGATGCCTTCTGACAAATGAGAAACTGAGGCTCAGATGGGGGAGGTGCCGGCCTCGGCTCACACAGGCAAAGAGTAAAAAGACCAGGATTTGAACTCGGTGCTTCTGACAGCACAGCTGGCGCACGGTGGGCATCAAAGGCAGCAAACATCACGGAGCAGCCAGCCGTGGTGCCTCTACTCTGGACTGGAAGTGGGTTCCAGGGGCCCTGTGCCCCTCAAGCATCCCCAGCTGCTCTGAGCCGCCGAGCACGCGGCTCCCAGGCCTGCGATGCGGGGCTGCCCCAAGAGCCTTCCCCCGCGGCGTTCACCTCAACACACCAACTGGTCCTATCCACACCTTCCTGCACCTGTAGCTCAGGCGTGAGGGGCCTGAGCTTCTGGAAATGCACCAGACGTCGTGGCTGACGTTCAGGGGCTGTCCCCGACCCTGGGAACAGGGCCAGGCCTGTGTCCTTGGCCTCGCCCTCTGCTCCCGTGCTCAGCCTGAGTTCCCTCTGCCCATTCATCTGTCCACCCCGGCTGCTCTCGACAGGCCTGCCTGGCCCACTGTCCACTTCAGGGTGTCTGGATACTGCAGGAAGGGTGACAGGCAGGCCTGGCAGGCACCACATCTTCTAGAAACAGGTGCATGTAAATCCTACACCGCAGATGTTCCAGCACATTCCTGATTTTAAGTTCTGACCTACCATCAGGCCAGGTACCATATTCTGGTCACCAACACGATTAAAGAGCAGCTCCCGTTTACCAAGCACCTGCCGTGTGCCCGCGTGGTACATAACCTCACTTGATCCTCGCAACTGGCCCTCAGGCCACACCGCTACCTCCCCGGGGCAGTCATTGTCACTCCGGCCCACGCCCCACCCCAGGGCGAGTTTCCCTCCTGGGTCACTGTGGCTCTCACCGTCCCTGCTGCCATAATTCTCAGTGGCATCAGTGTCCCCAGAGTCCCTCCTGCCCCTGCCCTCTCGTATCCTTGACCTCTTCTCCTGAAAGGCATGGCCTCCCCCGTTCCTCAGCCACTCATGCCCATGGTCCGCCCCGGACCCTGTCACCAGGAACTGCAGCGCCTCCAGGAATAACTTCCAACCTTTGCACCGTCCTGTCCTTCCAGCTCAGTCCCCGCAGTAGCCCGACGCCCACAGCCCTGCAACCCAGCCCCTCTCACTGCCCCTCCCTCCCTCCCCTCGTGGCCTCACGTCCCCCCCTTACCCAGCAAAGACTCCGTGGTCCACCTTAGGAATCCCTCTCGCGCCCACACCCCGAACCTGCGCCCCGCTCTCAGTCCTCTGCTTCCTCCATGCAGCACCGGGTGTCTGACAGCGCTGAGGGAAACCTACCACCTCCCTGACCAGGCTCCCCTTAAACTCAGGCTCTGGACCTCAAGAGGGCCCGGGAAAGCACAGGGCACTTCCCTAGTGCATTAGCCCCACCACCACCACCTTCCCATACCTTCTCTCTCTCAGGCCCCTCATCCTCCGTCTCAGCTGGCGGCCCGGCCTCCTATTTCCAGGAGAAAAACGGAGCTCTAAGCAAAGGCCTGCCAGGCCCT